GGCAGGGCGGGGCAGGGCAGGACCGGGTGAAGGGAGACAAGGCGTATAATGCGGAAAGGAAATAGGAGTGACGAGAGCAGATAACGCACGCTGGGCTGAAGCTGCTGCTTCCCCGTGCTGTATGTAGAATACATTAAAAAAAAAAGAAATGTAATCTCTGCTTCCTGTTTATTGAGATAAAAATATAATTTATTCCCCGCAATTTAGCAGCGCCGTCCTCGCCATATGCTCGGGGGAAGGAGAGAGGGTCTTTTATCGATCTGCAAATACCACTTATTTTGCTGCGCGCGGTGGAAAAATTAACCACTCGGCTGTTGCACAATTTTTTTTGAAGTAAAGTATATCAATTTTAGCAGGGTAAATAGAGTACAATGGTCTCGCCTGATACGGCGGAACATTTTGTTTTTATTTCATTTCCGCCGACTGCTTCTTTTGTGTCTCGACGCCCATCTATTACACGAATCTGCGAGGCAGTGCGGATCGGGAACGAGGGTGTGGCGGGGCGGGGTGAGGTGGGGTGGGGCGTGGCGGAGCGTATGGTATAGGGTGCGCCTCAGCCTCCCTCACGCGCATCACACATGTGCGCCCCGCCCCGCCACACCCCGCACCGAAAGCGTGTTGGGCGAATTGCGTTACAATCGGGGGCAAAGTTAATCGACGCCTCTCCGGAGCGCGAGGCGGGGCGGGGCGGGGCAGGACCAGGCCACCTCGCCTCGCGGGCGCCTCGCGCCCCCGGGGCCCAGGTCACGTACAAGACGGCGGGGCGCGGCGGGGCGGGGCGGGCCGCTAGTCCTGCCTCCATAATGAATCTCAGAGCTCCGGGGAGGGATGGGCTGGCGGCCGGGCTGCCCGGCACGCCGCGGCGCCCGCGTGATCCTCCCTATAAATGATAAGTTTTCAGAACGTCCTTGGCGGCGCGACCCCGCACACTTTGCAGGCATGGGACAGGCGCGTGTAGCCCCCTCCATCCTGGTCTCTGCTGGCGCCTGGGCTGGATCCTGGTCTGGAACCTGAGCTGGAGCCAGAGCTGGACCGTGGGCTGGAGCCGGAGCTGGAGCGTGGGCTGGAGCCGGAGCTGGAGCGTGGCCTGGAGCCCGAGCTGGAGCGTGGGCTGGAGCCGGAGCTGGA